ACACACACACCCACACACCCACCCACTCATACACCCACACACACACCCACAGACCCACACACACACCCACGCACACACCCACACACCCACCCATACACCCACACACCCACCCATACACCCACACACCCACGCACACACCCACCCACACACCCACACACCCACACACCCACACACCCACCCACACACCCACCCACACATCCACCCACCCACCCACAAACCCACCCACACACCCACAAACCCACCCACACACCCACACACCCACCCACACAACAACAACCGCCATTCACCACTAAGTGGCGGTGACGTCACCACGACGCTTGTGCCAGGCCATGTGCATCTTGAGGCCACGTGAAGTGTCGAACACCCGCTGGCAGGAGGTTACGGGGCAGACCCAGGTGCCACGGGTCGACTGACTGAGATGACCGAGATGACTGGCTGATGCACCACCTGTGCCTCCTACTGTGCAAACTTGCTGTGCTTTAGCCACCCGGTGCTCCGCTCGTTGTTGTGAGCGTCGCTCCTCAGCCCTCCGTTGTTGTTGGAGGGCGACTGCCTCCAACTGCCCAGTAGCGTCCTTCACGAGCCTCCTCCACAGAGGCCGATCTTGACACCGCTGGTACCAGTCATCGGCAAGTCCACTCAGCTCCACGTCCTCCTGTACCACATCACTCCATCTCTTCTCTAGCCCGTGCCGCGCCCGTTTAGCCCCCTCGATCCGGCCGAACAAAAGCTGTTTCGGCATGCGGTGGCTGGGCATGCGGGCTACATGACCCAGCCATCGCAGCCTTGCCTGCCGGAGGAGCTCACCGATGGGACTTTGTCTAGATCTTTAATGGATTTGTGAGCTCCTTACACAATTTTGCCTGGTTAAACCCAGGAGGGATCGTAGGCAGGCCAGCCTGAATGTTTCTAACTGGCAAAGATGTTCAATAGGGGGGTCCACGTTGCACAAGCGTAGGGAAGAGGGAGGGCATGACTGTGGCCGAGAAAACCTGAAGCTCCGTGTGGAGCTTCCACACAGCGTTACGAAACCGATGAAAAGATATTGCTGCTCAAGAGATTCAGAGTGAGACCTCCGCTGTTAAACCGGAGCCACTCATGAGCACACTGCCCAGATATGGGAAACTCTCCACTCTCTCTACAAGTGCCCTATCAGCAATTGGGAGTTGTGGGGGTGGAGTGTCTGGTGGTACAAAATACCCAGGCAGGTGCTTAGTTTTGGGGGGGCTGATGTTAAGGCCCCACCTCTTAGTGGCACGCTCCAGATTCAGCAGCAGCACCTCCAACTCCTCCTCTGAGTGAGCAGCAATTACCAGATCATCGGCATACATAACGTGGTTGACCAATAGGAAGCCATCCCTTGACCACACCCAGGCATCGATCAGCCTCCTATTGTATCTGTACCAGATGTAAATCCCTCCAGTACAGCCATTGAAAGCTTCATGAACTACGTGATCAAAATAGATGTTAAATAATGTAGGAGCCAGAGAACATCCCTGTCGCACCCCAAGGTGAACAGGGAATTGCTCCCACTCTCGGCCACGTAGTTTTACCCGGACCCGCTCACCATCATGAAGGTCCTTAATGATTGTGAGCAGAGAGTCAAAGACTCCGAAAGCACGAACAACACAGAGCCCAGGCCTACTGATGGTATCATAGGCCTTGACCAGGTCAATAAAGCAGAGATGTAGGTCTTATTGGAATTCCCTATACCTCTGCTGTAGCAGACGGACAGAAAATATGGCATCTGTGCAGGACCGCCCTTTCCTGAAACCAAATTGGGGCTCCACAAGCCTCTCCTCAGCGTGCCTGGCAAGGCGATGTTGAATAATTCTTGCCAGGACCTTTCCCGGCACACTGAGGAGTGAGATTCCCCTGTAGTTGTTACAGTTTGTGCGGTCCCCTTTCTTAAATAGGAGAACCACCAGGGCATCCTTCCAGTCCTGCAGAACCCGTCCAGTGGTCCAGACTGTTGTTATGATGTCATGCAAGTCATTCTATGCACAAACGCCACCCTCCCTCAGCATTTCGCTTGGGAGATCATCTCTGCCTGGTGCTTTTCCTGGTCTCAGACTCTGGATCGCCTTCAGTACTTCCTCAACAGATGGCACCTCAGCCAGCCACTCACAGGGGGTGACTTCCTCTTCAAATATTTGAGGCACCGCGGCCTCAGCAAGATCATCCCCACTTTGTGCCACAATGTTTTCCAGGCTGAGGGATTTCCCCTCCCCCAGGACCTCACAGAAATGCTCAGCAAATCTGAAAACCTATTCCTGGGGGTCAGAGATTAGATCACCGTTCTTTCCCCTAATGATAATAGGTGTGGAGCTGAAAGCTACTTTTTGTATGGAATTAAAGAGCGATTTGTGATCGCGGGCCACTGAGGCAGATTCCATCACTTTAGCAACTCGCGACCACCACCCATCCTTGCAGCACCTCACGGCTCTCTTCGGTAAATCCTTCTCATTCTCTGACGTGGGATTCTGTAACCGATGACAGTGGGCCTGTCACTTTTTTTCAGCCAGCCTGAACACCTCCTCTGTCAGCCAGGGTCTCTCTGGAGGTCTGGATCGTGTACGCAACACAGCCATTCCAGCTGCATGAGCCACAGTTCTTAACCTCGCCTATTTCCCCTCGACATCAGGAGGAGTGGATGACGATGCCAACCCCAGCCGCAAGCGATGATGAAGTTCTCGCTTGCAACTTTCATCAGCTAGCTGAGACCATGCCACTAAGGATTTGAATGGGGTCCTGGGTGTACACCCACTACCGGAGTGGAAGAATGGCAGGCGCATCTTTGTTGTGTGGATGCGCCGATGCTGGAACAGCGTGTTGGTTATTACAAGCCCATGGGCTGCACAAAAATCTAGCAGCCTCCTACCGTTGTTATTGAGCTGATCTGGCCCATGCCTGCCAATCACTCCAGACCAGGGGCCAGCATTGTGACCAACTCGGGCATTAAATTCACCCAACAGGATGACTCTATCCCGAGGTGCCACTTTAGCCAGCACCTGTGACAGGAGGTCATAGGAGGTATCTGACTCATCGGCCTTACCTGTATCCCTCCACGGATGTTCGTCTTTGGTAGGGGCATAAGTAACCACGACCACCATTCCTCGCCTCCGGTTGATGGGAAGGCGAGCCCAAAGTTGCCTAGGACTTACAGCTTCCCACACCTCACCGCCACGCTCCCACGCCCCCTTAATTTTTTTGTTCAGAAGAAGAGCCACACCCTGTTGTTTGGTAGTCTCCTGCCCCGAGTAGAGGACTGTCCACCCCTCATGGTGGCAGGAGCCAGAGCCGGTCCACCGGACCTCCTGAATGCCACAGAGAACCAGGCAGTACCGGTCCAGCTCCCGACAGAGGAGTGGCAGCCTCTCCTCCGCAGTGAGTGTTCGAACATTCCACGTGGCCATCCGTAGTGGCTGTTCTTTGTTTCTGGAGAAACCCCGAGTGTAAGGATTCAATCTCCTGGCTTCGCCAAATGGGGTTTTGCCAGGAGACGTCATAGACGCCTTTCCCCGCAGGGCCTCCGGCACAAGCTTTGTTTGATATTTTAGTCGTGGTATCTTGGTCATTGATTTGAAGGTGGAGGGGTTACCAGCCCCTCGCACCCATCCAGAGCACCCATTTGCCCTCTGTGGTGGTTACAGACGCCATGAGGGGAATGGCCAATCTAAATTGTCCCTCCCCCCCACGGCACTGCCCACCACAGCATTGCCATCTGGGAAATATATAAATGTGTCGTTAAAACCCGCCACCACCCGACACAGCCAACTAGTAAGGGCTGTCACGTAAACAGAACGTGGCCAATTCTCTCTCTTATGGATGATATTGGTCGCGAAAGCTTACGTGTTAAACTTAGGAGGTAGGGGGTTGTTTTGCTGCACTCACACACACACACACGTACACACACACACGTACACACACACCCACACGCACACACACGCACACACACACACGTACACACACGTACACACACGCACACACACGTACACACACACGTACGCACACACACACACGTACACACACACGTACACACACACACACGTACACACACACCCACACGCACCCACACGCATCCGCACGCACACACACGTACAGACACACGTACCTACGTACGTACGTAAAACGCGACCTCTCCTTCCGCCCTGGCCATTGGGGCTCCCTTGCCGCACAAACACAAACCCACCGGCTCGTTTGCACCCCCCCCCTTCTCTCCCCCATGCCCCCTCTCTCCCCCCCCCCCCTTCTCTCCCCCATGCCCCCCCCCTCTCCCCCCCCCCTCTCCCCCCTAGCCCGGTGAGAAGTGCTTCATCCCTCCGTGCGAGTCGGCGGCTCCCTGGCCCCGGGTGGAGACTGTGAGCCTCCCGTCCGGCAGGGCCTACATGCGCTACACCGCCTGCCCCGCCGCCCCCCATCACCACCAGCAGCAGGGGCAGCAGGGGCAGCAGGGGCAGCAGCAGCAGGAGCAGCAGCAGGGGCAGCAGGAGCAGCAGCAGGAGCAGCGGGAGCAGCAGGAACCCACGGCCCACGGCCACCTGCCACCAGGCCGCGTAGCGCAGGAGCATGAGCACCTGGAGGAGACGCACCTGGAGGAGACGCACCTGGAGACGCACCTGCAGGAGACGCACCTGGAGGAGACCTACCTGGAGGAGACCTACCTGTAGCAGTGGACGCACCTAGAGCAGACGGCACCTGGAGATGTACCTGGAGGAGACGCACCGGGAGGAGACGCACCTAGAGACCTACCTGGAGACGCACCTGCAGGAGACCTACCTGTAGATGCACCTAGAGACGCACCTGGAGACGCACCTGCAGGAGACCTACCTGCAGGAGACGCACCTGGAGGATACCTACCTGTAGCAGCGGACGCACCTAGAGCAGACGCACCTGTAGCGGCAGACGCACCTGGAGTTGTACCTAGAGACGCACCTGCAGGAGATGTACCTGGAGATGCACCTGTAGTGGCAGACGCACATGTAGTGGCAGACGCACCTTGAGATGTACCTAGAGACGCACCTGTAGTGGCAGACGCACCTGGAGATGTACCTAGAGACGCACCTGCAGGAGATGTACCTGGAGACGCACCTGCAGGAGATGTACCTGGAGATGCACCTGTAGTGGCAGACGCACCTGGAGATGTACAGTGAGGGAAAAAAAGTATTTGATCCCCTGCTGATTTTGTACATTTGCCCACTGACAAAGAAATGATCAGTCTATAATTTTAATGATAGGTTTATTTGAACAGTGAGAGACAGAATAACAACAAGAAAATCCAGAAAAACGCATGTAAAAAATGTTATAAATTGATTTGCATTTTAATGAGGGAAATAAGTATTTGACCCCCTCTAAATCAGAAAGATTTCTGGCTCCCAGGTGTCTTTTATACAGGTAACGAGCTGAGATTAGGAGCACACTTTTAAAGGGAGTGCTCCTAATCTCAGCTTGTTACCTGTATAAAAGACACCTGTCCACAGAAGCAATCAATCAATCAGATTCCAAACTCCCCACCATGGCCAAGACCAAAGAGGTCTCCAAGGATGTCAGGGACAATATTGTAGACCTACACAAGGCTGGAATTGGCTACAAGACCATTGCCAAGCAGCTTGGTGAGAAGGTGACAACAGTTGGTGCGATTATTCGCAAATGGAAGAAACACAAAAGAACTGTCAATCTCCCTCGGCCTGGGGCTCCATGCAAGATCTCACCTCGTGGAGTTGCAATGATCATGAGAACGGTGAGGAATCAGCCCAGAACTACACGGGAGGATCTTGTCAATTATCTCAAGGCAGCTGGGACCATAGTCACCAAGAAAACAATTGGTAACACACTACGCCGTGAAGGACTGAAATCCCGCAGTGCCCGCAAGGTTCCCCTGCTCAAGAAAGCACATATACATGCCCGTCTGAAGTTTGCCAATGAATATCTGAATGATTCAGAGGACAACTGGGTGAAGTGTTGTGGTCAGATGAGACCAAAATGGAGCTCTTTGGCATCAACTCAACTCGCCATGTTCGGAGGAGGAGGAATGCTGCCTATGACCCCAAGAACACCATCCCCACCGTCAAACATGGAAGTAGAAACATTATGCTTTGGGGGTGTTTTTCTGCTAAGGGGACAGGACAACTTCACTGCATCAAAGGGACGATGGACGGGGCCATGTACCGTCAAATCTTGGGTGAGAACCTCCTTCCCTCAGCCAGGGCATTGAAAATGGGTCGTGGATGGGTATTCCAGCATGACAATGATCCAAAACACACGGCCAAGGCAACAAAGGAGTGGCTCAAGAAGAAGCACATGAAGGTCCTGGAGTGGCCTAGCCAGTCTCCAGACCTTAATCCCATAGAAAATCTGTGGAGGGAGCTGAAGGTTCGAGTTGCCAAACGTCAGCGTCGAAACCTTAATGACTTGGAGAAGATCTGCAAAGAGGAGTGGGACAAAATCCTTCCTGAGATGTGTGCAAACCTGGTGGCCAACTACAAAAAACGCCTGACCTCTGTGATTGCCAACAAGGGTTTTGCCACCAAGTGCTACGTCATGATTTGCAGAGGGGTCAAATACTTATTTCCCTCATTAAAATGCAAATCAATTTATAACATTTTTGACATGCGTTTTTCTGGATTTTGTTGTTGTTATTCTGTCTCTCACTTTAAATAAAGCTACGATTAAAATTATAGACTCATAATTTATTTGTCAGTGGGCAAACGTACAAAATCAGCCGGGGATCAAATACTTTTTTCCCTCACTGTACCTAGAGACGCACCTGCAGGAGATGTACCTGGAGATGCACCTGCAGGAGATGTACCTATAGATGTACCTAGAGACCCACCTGCAGGAGATGTACCTGGAGACCCACCTGCAGGAGATGTACCTAGAGACGCACCTGCAGGAGATGTACCTGTAGGAGATGTACCAGGAGATGTACCTGGAGACACCTGCAGGAGATGTACCTAGAGACGCACCTGCAGGAGATGTACCTGGAGACCCACCTGCAGGAGATGTACCTGGAGACGCACCTGTAGGAGATGTACCTAGAGATGCACCTGCAGGAGATGTACCTGGAGACACCTGCAGGAGATGTACCTAGAGACGCACCTGCAGGAGATCTACCTGGAGACGCACCTGCAGGAGATGTACCTGGAGACCCACCTGTAAGAGATGTACCTGTAGATGTACCTGGAGACGCACCTGGAAATGTACCTAGAGATGTACCTGGAGATGTACCTGTAGATGCACCTGTAGTGGCAGACGCACCTGTGTGTCTATGTTGTGTGTCTCTCTGTGTCTGTGTGTGTCTCTCTTTGCTTGTGTCTCTCTGTGTCTGTGTGTCTCTCTGTGGCTGTGTGTGTCTCTCTCTGCTTGTGTCTCTCTCTGTGTCTGTGTGTGTGTCTCTCTCTCTGCTTGTGTGTCTGTCTGTGTCTGTCTGCCTGTGTCTCTGTTGTGTCTCTCTGTGTTGTCTCTCTGTGTGTCTATGTTGTGTGTCTCTCTGTGTCTGTCTCTCTGCTTGTGTGTCTCTCTGTGTGTCTGTGTGTGTGTGTGTCTCTCTCTGCTTGTGTGTCTGTCTGTGTGTCTCCGTGTCTGTGTTTTGTCTCTCTCTCTCTCTCTCAAATTGAGTTCGACCTGATGATGGTTGCTTGCGTTGCAATCGAAACGTCGTACTCTATTTAAACAAAAAAGAAATGGTATTCTCTACGTGACTTTAGCGAAAGAACCAACGAGTAATCCCTGCAGTCACGAAAGCTTCAGATCAAGTGTGTGTTCCACTCATTTTAGTTGAGGCCCCTCTGAGTTGGCGTGGAGCTGGCTTTTATTTTTTTCAGAAGCCCCGACCTCACTTTGGCAAGTGATAACGGCTCAGCCAAGCGGATTGTCAAGTTGATTTAAAGCTTTCGTGAATTCAGGGATGCATTTTTATTTATTATTTCGGTAAAGTCGTCACGTAGAAGGGGAGAACTAATAATAAAACATGGTATTGTATTTTTATTATTTTATTATTTCCCTTCTACGTGACTTTACCGAAAGAACCAAGAGAATTGATTGTCATTGGCATCGCGTGGAAATGTAAGGCAGCTACAGACTATAAAGGCATGTTTATTCAGACTCAGAGACCCACAGAGACCTACACTCACAGAGACCCATACTCACAGAGACCCATAGAGACCCACAGAGACCCACACTCATAGAGACCCATACTCACAGAGACCCACAGAGACCAACACTCATAGAGACACACAGAGACCCACACTCACAGAGACCCACAGAGACACACAGAGACCCACACTCATAGAGACCCAAAGAGACCCACACTATTAGAGACCCACAGAGACCCACACTCATAGAGACCCACAGAGACCCATACTCAGAGACCCATACTCACAGAGACCCACAGAGACCTACGCTCACAGAGACCCACAGAGACCCACACTCATAGAGACCCACAGAGACCCATACTCATAGACACCCACAGAGACCCATACTCATAGAGACCCACACTAATAGAGACCCACAGAGACCCATACTCATAGAGACCCACAGAGACCCACACTCACAGAGACCCACAGAGACCCATACTCATAGAGACCCACAGAGACCCACACTCATAGAGACCCACAGAGACCCATACTCAGAGACCCATACTCACAGAGACCCACAGAGACCTACGCTCACAGAGACCCACAGAGACCCACACTCATAGAGACCCACAGAGACCCATACTCATAGAGACCCAGAGAGATCCACACTCATAGAGACACACAGAGACCACACTCATAGAGACCCACAGAGACCCACACTCATAGAGACCCACAGAGACCCACACTCATAGAGACCCACAGAGACCCACACTCATAGAGACCCACAGAGACCCACACTCATAGAGACCCACAGAGACCCATACTCATAGAGACCCACAGAGACCTACGCTCATAGAGTCACACAGAGACCCACACTCATAGAGACCCACAGAGACCCACACTCACAGAGACCCACAGAGACCCACACTCATAGAGACCCACAGAGACCCACACTCACAGAGACCCACAGAGACCCATACTCCTAGAGACCCACAGAGACCCACACTCATAGAGACCCACAGAGACCCACACTCATAGAGACCCACAGAGACCCATACTCATAGACACCCACAGAGACCCATACTCATAGAGACCCACACTAATAGAGACCCACAGAGACCCATACTCATAGAGACCCACAGAGACCCACACTCACAGAGACCCACAGAGACCCATACTCATAGAGACCCACAGAGACCCACACTCATAGAGACCCACAGAGACCCATACTCAGAGACCCATACTCACAGAGACCCACAGAGACCTACGCTCACAGAGACCCACAGAGACCCACACTCATAGAGACCCACAGAGACCCATACTCATAGAGACCCAGAGAGATCCACACTCATAGAGACACACAGAGACCACACTCATAGAGACCCACAGAGACCCACACTCATAGAGACCCACAGAGACCCACACTCATAGAGACCCACAGAGACCCACACTCATAGAGACCCACAGAGACCCACACTCATAGAGACCCACAGAGACCCATACTCATAGAGACCCACAGAGACCTACGCTCATAGAGTCACACAGAGACCCACACTCATAGAGACCCACAGAGACCCACACTCACAGAGACCCACAGAGACCCACACTCATAGAGACCCACAGAGACCCACACTCACAGAGACCCACAGAGACCCATACTCCTAGAGACCCACAGAGACCCACACTCATAGAGACCCACAGAGGCCCACACTCATAGAGACCCACAAAGCCCCATACTCATAGAGACACACAGAGACCCATACTCACAGAGACCCACAGAGACCCATACTCAGACACCCACAGAGACCCACAGAGACCCATACTCATAGAGACCCACAGACCCATACTCATCAAGACCCACACTCATAGAGACTCACAGAGACCCATACTCATAGAGACCCACAGAGACCCACACTCATAGAGACTCACAGAGACCCACACTCATAGAGACACACAGAGACCCACACTCATAGAGACCCACAGAGACCCACACTCATAGAGACCCACAGAGACCCACACTCGTAGAGACACACAGAGACCCACACTCATAGAGACCCACAGAGACCCATACTCATAGAGACCCACAGAGACCCACACTCATAGAAATCCAAAGAGACTCACACTCATAGAGACCCACAGAGACCCACACTCATAGAGACCCACAGAGACCCACACTCATAGAGACAAACA